ATTAGTGTACATCAAGAACTTTTTATTACCTGCTACAACAGTGCTAGCTGAATCAGAAGATGGCTTGTTATTAGCCACAGTACATGTGTACTCTCCTGCAGTAGTCACAGTCAGAGTGTGGGTGTACTGTGCAGTCACTGGGTCATTCAACACAGTCTGGGTTCCTTGGGTGACAGTGGTGGAGTCTCTGGTCCAAGTGACAGTGGTAGCAGGTCCACCAATGGAGATACAGGTGAGGGTTTGTGTGTTCGGATCATATGTCACATTTCCAGCAATTGAAACATTACCTAAGCACAAGTGTGGCATGTAACAACTAGTATTGCCTGTTTTTACAATGTCAAATCAGGTATATAAATATATACAGACACCTTTCTGAGAATATCACCAAACTTCGTCTTCTCGAATTTTGAGGGTTTGAGTTGAGATCTTCGGAATGAACCGAGTGTTTCGAGGCAGATCGCTTGCTGCCGAGTGCCCGCGCAATCTCTGTACCCTGGAGCGCTTGGCCCGATTAGAATGTTCAATGGAAATCGAGGGGAAACCAGGTGACTTCCTGGATCTCCTGGAGAGAGGGGACCCAATTGGACGATCAGGAGATACAGGGGACCGTGGATCCCCCGGACCCGGCGGGGGACTCGGGACCACGAGAGACAGAGGACCCCCAAGGTTCCTCGGAGAATCAGGGGAACCGGGACAGAAAGGAGACATGGGGGAACCGGGCCCCGCTGTACCAGGGGACCCAGGACCAATCGGGGCGAAAGGAGACCGAGGGGATCGAGGGGGACCAGGCGACATCGGACCAGCAGGACCAAGGGGGGAACCAGGTGCACCGGGAGACAGAGGATCAAGAGGTGACGTGGGGATCAAAGGAGAGATAGGAGCACCTGGACCAACAGGACAGACTGGTTTCACCGGAAGCAAAGGAGAGAGAGGAGATAGTGTAGTTGGAGCAAAAGGTGACAGGGGAGACGGAGGTGGCGCGACCTACGTGAGGTGGGGGAAGAGAACGTGCCCAGACACAGACGGAACCGAAATAATTTACAACGGAACTGCAGCCAGCAGCCATCACTACGAAGGGGGAGGCGGAAATTACCAATGTCTCACCAATCAACCGGCCCATTTCGACTTGGGCGGCAAAGGCGGGCGCGAGGATGCCGGGTACATATATGGAACTGAGTTTGAGGTCTGGGGAAACGTGCCACCGGCTAGTCTACCGCTGACCAATCAGAACGTCGCGTGCGCCGTGTGTTACGTAACGCGGGGAGCCGTCGTGATGATCCCGGGAACGTACATCTGCCCTCTCGGGTGGAGGAGGGAGTACCACGGTTACCTCATGTCCGAACGCCACAAGAACAGACGATCGACGTTCGAGTGCGTGGACGCATCGCCCGACATTCTGCCTCAGCGCGAGCAGGATATTGACAGAGAGGGAGACGACGACGGAGCGTTGTTCTACCACGTGGAGCCTCGCTGCGGCAGTCTGCCCTGTCCGCCGTACGACGAACAGAGAGAAGTAACCTGCGTCGTGTGCAGTCGCTGAAAAATTGGCGCAGACGACACGGAACATTCTTTTCAAGAGACATTATTATTAGAACTAGCTAGTGAGATAGTAATTTTATTTTCTTGCCTCGTCTTGCCGAATAGAAGAGCGCTCACACATCAATGCGTGCAGCCTAAATAATTGTTTCTGTAAAACATTGCTCGATTACAGTGCGGGTGCATCTGTACTGTATTAGCTACCTGCTTAATTGAGAAATTTCCAGGAAAATGTACGAGAAACCAGAATTTCTGAAATATGATAAACCAACCAATGAAGTCAATGGTTCATGAGAATGATCTGTTTGCTGCCGACGTAAGGCTCCATGGATCTGACTAGAGCAGTCTTGTAGTCCGAGAGAGGATGGTGGGTGGTGGGCGGGGCCTGGAGGTGGCCCGACAGAGCCAGCTGACAGAGATCCTCCATCATTGACTGGTGCAGAGGGTCTGGGGAGAGCAAGAGACCAGCAAAATGTCTTTAAAAATATGAAAAAAATGGTGTCCAGGGGAAAATTATCGCTATTATTCATGAATACATGTAAAGAACACTTGTTTCTATCCAGTCCTTAACCTCTGAACAAAAAACACCTCTGTATAAAGGTCAATTTTCCATTAAAGTTTCACTAAGAACAAGAGACTTGTATATGGAGGAGCAAGTTCCACTGACTGTGCAGATTTCTCTCCAACCACTTGGAGTTCCAGTAGCCTACCACTTTCACATCCTTGAATATCAGGTATCCCTGCAGCGACATCAAAATCATTATCAGAGGCTGTATATATACACGCTCAAGAACACTACATAATTGTATGAGTCACACTACAGGCCTGCAGGGGAAGCTGTGCGATTTGAACGAACTAGCTCTAATACACGACAGAGTCAAGTCAGGGACACAGCTCGAGATTTAACCAAAACCCTGGGAGGCCTCTCTCCTACATTTCCACTTTATGCTGATTGCTATTCTTAGCTATAGGAAACCTACATACATACCACTGGCACAGTAACTGGTTGCTTGCCCATCCCTCCATAGTTCACCATCACTCCTCCATCACTGCAGATTAATAGTTAGCTGGCAACTACACAAACAAAACTCTACCAAAATAAGAGTCTGGGACTTTGCTACTGAACAAATGAAAAGCACTAAAGTGCAAACCCTCGGCGAACTGCGCATACGCGATACTGCTCACGTCGCGAGTCTGACACGGGCTAGCTACAGTAGTAGATAGTATGCGGGAGTCGATACTCGTTGTGACTTTCTGAGCCCCAAAGGTACACAGAGCGAGCGGATCAGGTCGCGGTAAGCCCAGTACGATTATGAACATTGCGGACATACCTTGCTCAATTTGTTGTCCATCGAGAACAGAGATCAACAATGACTGAGGAGAGACACTTTTGCTCGTCCGTCCAAGGTCAACTAAAATAACCACGCCTAATCTAGCAGATGCGCATGCTCCGGCAAACGACATACGCGCGTGCGCGATGGATCGCTCGCGTCTGATGCTCCGGCAAAACGATACACCCACATACGCGCGTGCGCGATGAATCGCTCGCGTAAGCTTTTTCGCTTGTTTTCACGCCATATCTCTGGAACACAGTCGTTTCGGGAAAATCGCCACATTAATATCAATCTTCTCGCCGTTCACAACCCGTTGGTGCCACTCATTGGCCGCCTCGTAGCCTGTAGTGCTAAAACTCACGCGGACACACAGACGGACAGAACGACTACTGTAACCCTCGCTGCGCATGCGCGCCGAGGGTTAACTATATATATATATATATATACCTGAGATGTTTGAGAAGGGTTGTGGAACTTTTCCCACCAACACAGTTGAATGCCAACTTGGGAGTCTTGTATTGCTACAGGTATGAAAGTGATACTTTAACAGTGGCACCTCTGAAGAATGGAGATATTGGGACCAAGCATTTTGTCCAAAAGGGAGGTTTGGAGGTTAATGGAGGTTCTCTGTATTAAAGTTAGCAGTTGTGGGCAGTGTTAAGTGATCGCCCTAGCTCTTACAAACGTTCTCTTCAAATGAAAACTACAGCAACGTAATGCATACTGCGAGAAGGTCTTTCATGCGATGAGAGGCAGCGAAATCTTCAGTCACTACTTCAGTGGCTCCGAAAGATTTCATTCTTTTCACCAGATCCTCCAGACCTGGTCTGAAGTGAGAGACAAAAAGAGAGAAACTTAACGTAACTCACATCTCCATCTAAAACAGCCCAATAGGCTACAGTTGTATGCAGTTCATATATTAGTAGCTAGATGTATTGCCCCTATAATATTCAGCCCCTAATCATATTATTATGCCATAGCACGAGAAAAGGTAAGCTGGCATGGCATTTTCGGACTCAGTTAAAAAGTAAAAAAACACTTACACTATTATAGATATCAAGTTATAAAATTACTAGGAATGCGCACGCGCATATTTTGCCTAGCGCCTGCCAGCCAATGCGTAAACAGTCCGATTGAGGCGCACGCTCTACTGACTGCGCGCGAAGCCAGACTTCCTACGAATCTGCGCGCACGGCGGAAGCTAGACTTCCTACGAACGACGGAAGTTACACTTCCTTTTGGTGACTAATTGACATTCCTAAGCGTGACTAATTGACGACATACGTACACATATCGCGAGAATGCAACCCGGAGTAGAGCTCGCGCTAATGCGCTCGGCAATTATGTACTTAGCTAGTAGGTGTGAAATCACTAAGTACAGCAGTATTGTAGCTCTACAATATCAAGTCCAGACCTGTCTCTGACGATACTGATGCAGCCAAGTCCCCAGGCCTTGGCCAACTGAGCCACACTCAGCCCCACCCCACTGTTGCCTCCATTCTGAATGACACTGTCTCCTGGAAAAACAGAAGACTAAAAGAGTGAGGTTGAATACACAAAGGATAAAACGTTTTTGAGGACACCGATCACAAACAATCAGGAAATAATTTGGGCAGGGATGATAGACACAAATAATCCCTTGAAAATATTCCCATTTGCCACTGAATTGCTGTTTAAAAAATTCCGTATATAGCTACCTGGTTGAAGGCTGACAAAGTCTTTCAGCATGCGGTAGGCAGTAGGAGGATTGACGGAGAGTGTTGCTGCAATGTCGAGACCCACGTTGGAATCCACCTTCACAAACCTCTTCTCTGGTGCTACTATCAGCCCACGCCACGTACCTGCCACACATACACATCACAACAGTGTGGTTAAGAGTTACTAATGCAGAGCATCATTATACAGAAATATAGGAGATGATTTGGCTTTTCTTTGTTTCTCAAAAAAACAAAGAGTTAACCACAAAAAAATGAACTTACCCCTTTTTTTAATCCTTTATAGCTAATATTATGGCATGCAAATACACAGAGCATGACACTTCATTTAACAATACGTACGTACCGAGTGACGGTCCTGCAGGGATGACCCAATCCCCACTCCTCACACTCGTCACACCCTCCCCAGTCTCCCTCACCACTCCCACACCCTCCCCTCCTCCCACACCCGGCAGCTCTGGCTTCAACGGATAAATTCCTTCATGAAGAGCAAAATATCAAAATTATTGTAGTCAAAAAAGGAAAATAATTGCAGGAACCTTGAATTATGTTTATATCTGAAGGGTTGATTGGACAGGCAAGCATCTCCACGGCAACGTCCTCTGACCCAATACTTGCCACTGGAAAATTCCTCTCTAATCTGGAGATTGAGAGATGCTAATAATCGCGGAGATCACGTGAGCTTACTTGACAACTTTCTCGGGCTGTCCGAAGGAGTCGTACACAAGTGCATTCGTGGAGGCCGTGCGGTACGCAGAGTTTCCTTTGCTCCATCTTCTCGCTGCCGTCCTGGCTCCGCGTGGGAAGAGCGAGAGAAACAGGGAACTTGGGGAGAAGTAGCGCATGACGAGCGCGCATGCGTAAAAACGTAATTATACACGCATGCGCATAGGCACTGCAGTTTTCATTGCGGGCAGATCGTTGCGCAGCAGACACGTTGAAACTCTCCTTTCTAGAGAAACTCGGAAGAGAATGTCTGAGACTCCGGCGGACATGGTGGGCTGGTTCCAGGGGGCGGTGAAGGAATACGACGCCTTCTGTCTCGTCTACTACCGCGGACGCTGGTGACCCTGGTGTCCCGTGAGTCGCTCACCCACCGCGCATCCTTTTAGCTAACACTTTTTACACTACTAATCCCACCATAAATCACATCATTTTTGTCAGGGCTGTTCAGAATCATCATTTTTTGTCAGGGCTGTTCAGAATCCTCATTTTTTGTCAGGGCTGTTCAGAATCATCATTTTTGTCAGGGCCGTTCAGAATCATCATTTTTTGTCAGGGCTGTTCAGAATCATCATTTTTTGTCAGGGCTGTTCAGAATCATCATTCTTTGTCAGGGCTGTTCAGAATCATCATTTTTGTCAGGGCCGTTCAGAATCATCATTTTTTGTCAGGGCTGTTCAGAATCATCATTTTTTGTCAGGGCTGTTCAGAATCATCATTTTTGTCAGGGCCGTTCAGAATCATCATTTTTTGTCAGGGCCGTTCAGAATCATCATTTTTTGTCAGGGCTGTTCAGAATCCTCATTTTTTGTCAGGGCTGTTCAGAATCATCATTTTTGTCAGGGCCGTTCAGAATCATCATTTTTTGTCAGGGCTGTTCAGAATCATCATTTTTTGTCAGGGCTGTTCAGAATCATCATTTTTGTCAGGGCCGTTCAGAATCATCATTTTTTGTCAGGGCCGTTCAGAATCATCATTTTTTGTCAGGGCTGTTCAGAATCATCATTTTTTGTCAGGGCTGTTCAGAATCATCATTTTTTGTCAGGGCCGTTCAGAATCATCATTTTTTGTCAGGGCCGTTCAGAATCATCATTTTTTGTCAGGGCTGTTCAGAATCATCATTTTTTGTCAGGGCTGTTCAGAATCATCATTTTTTGTCAGGGGACTAGCTAAAATCGTTGGCCCTTGTTCGGTGGTTCCATGTCCAGCTGTTCAGAGTAATCTGCCCACACAAAATGCTTGTAGATAAATACTGTAGTGGCTTAGACCACAGCATGTTATAGCAATGGTGAGGTATTTAAATTAATTATGATGTTTATAGTAAGCAAGCAACCATAGTCTGGCGTTAATAATTAATTACTATAAACATCATAATTAATTTAAATACCTTACCATCCCCATTGTTGCTATAACATGCTGTGGTAATAATGTAATTGTGTGGGAGGCATAATTTTCAGCGTGGCTCCTCCAGCTATAATAGGAACAGTGTCATAACAATAATAATACAGTATTTCATATGCAGCTTTAGATACCATAGCTGTATAATACATATATACAACAGAAATATCTCAAGTCAGTGGATGACTTGTTGGAGGGGCTGCAGGGGCAGAAGGTTGGGGTGTTTGCTCTGTGTGGTCAGCCAAAGAGTGAAGTGGACCTCATGATGTCTGAACACAGCCTCAGGTTTAAGGTGAGCAATCACCCTACAGCTATACCCTCTGAACACACGTACAGTTGTGGTTTGTGTATTCAGTTGGTGGTATTGATAAAATTCATGATCATCTGTCTTCTTTGACCCCTTCCTGTCTTAAAATTCCATATAAGTAGTCATATCTCTATCCGCCACTCTTTCCTCTACACCTGCCCCCCCACTACTCTTCTTTCCTCCCATTACTTCTTCATTACCGACCACATCTCACTCTCCTCTCCCTCTCCTCTTTCCTCTCCACCACTAACAATTATTATTCCTCCAGTGTTTCTCTGACCCTGAGAACGTGCTGCAGAAGTGGCTCAAGGCTCAGAATATCATCGACGTACAAGTGCACTCAGGCGAGGGAGAAGAAGTGTATTTCGAGATCAAGAAATACAAGCCGCACGGGATGGTCCAGCCGGCCGTTCTCTTTGTCAAGCCAGACATGAGCGTTCTGGCAAAGTGGGTACAAATCCCTACAAAAGTGAGTCTCCCGCCATTTCTATGCTTCCATACAGTCCCATCCCTGCTAGCTAAGTGTCTTGTTTCAAGGGTTGGGTCTGCACCACAGCAAAGTCCAAGTTGATACACAGAGTCACAAAGCAAGGCCTGCAGGCATAAAGACAAAAACATTTTAACTTGGCACGATCCTCGTAGCGCTATAGCAGGTAGGATTGAACTTAGCCGGATAGCAAACTGCACTAGAAAGGTATATAAGTGGGATTGAATTTCACACTGGAATGTTAATTTCCCCCACACTACTCTCACTTGGAAGGATAAAACACTTAACACACAGCCACAACATTTAAAAAAATAATTTCCCACTAATTTCTCGTGCACAAACTTACAAATGGAACAATAATTGCTCATAATTTCCTTTTGATGTGCAAGCTTATTTCACAGTGCATGTATATACATGGTATAATTTTCTTCTGATGTATTTTTTCCCACAGGAGAATTTTCATGGAGCCAAAGACCGCAAGCCATTCCCCGATATCTGGGCCGAGGCAAAAGCTAAAATGTAGACCTCCTTTCCTCTTGAAAAACTAGTGAAAATAGCTATAGTAGATGTATATTATTATACCATGTGTTTGTTTTGTGGGTTTGTGTGTTGCCATGACGAGGGTGTGTCTCAACCAGTGCAGTGCTGGGGACCATCTCTCTGACTCATCATGTGACATAATTCCCACTCTAACCTTCACACTGTGTCTTATTGCTACAGATCCGAGAGGCGCATGCGCACTAACAGCAGATTGGGGCGGGGCTTGTAAACCAGCAGCGTGTGTGTCGACACGTGCAACAGACCCCCTGGAGCCGTTCCCCCGGCTGAAAAACGGCGAGAGCGAGCAAATCTACAGCTAGGTGCTGACGCTGTAAAGAACCATATTCTCGGCTGTGTAGCCGACACTTTTCTGGAGGAGACCCGAGCAATGAGCCTCCTTAACCTGGGAAAAGAGGCTCCAGGGTCTGTTGGAACACATCAATTCCAGTCATATACTAACAACTATCCTTTCTCAGCCCAGATCTCCGCGACTAGAGCGTCCGTTCTTTTTCTCACGCACATATATACTACGTAATATCGCAAAAGTATAGAGCATATCGTAAGAGCTACGTGCTGCGCCGCTCAGCCAGCAGCCAGAACGAGACTCCGGATGTGACGTCACGTTCAATTAACTCGCCCACTTTTGCGGTCATGCATTCTAGGGAGCCGGCGGACATTATCTCAGGCAGTCTCTCTCACGGCAGGCTTTTCGAAATGTCGGACCTGTGGAAGGCGGTACTTGAGTCTGCGAATATCGCTGAAGACTCCGAGGATGCTAAAGGGTAAATACAGTAGCTATTTTTCAGCGCAACAGTAGTATTAGCTATCGTTCACGTGTCATTACCATTCAGGATACTTGCCGGTGACTCCGAAGGATATCTAAGATCATTCATGGAGAGTAACTGCACGCAATGGAGTGAAAAGATGCGGGACCTTTGCGGCTCGGAGGAAATCTTCCGGAAGGTGAAATCTGCTGTGCGTACGCGACACGTCCGTGAGCAAGATTTTACGATTCCCCCCTCGAAGTATAATGCAAAGGATAAGTCGAGCTATTTCATTGTAGATCATCGTTCTATATAATTCATGTGTACATGGTCTACATGTGAGCCTACAGGTCGAAGCATTTGGCCATTTCGTAGACGAGATTGATGGTAAGGTTTGTGTTGACCCAAAGTTCTGTCAGTTGGCAACAACCCTCATGAAGAAAATGAGTAAGCAATACGACTCCGAGTACGACCGTGAAACACAATTTCGAGAAGCAGTAAATGAATACTTTCCATCATTAATTGTATCATTACCGAAACCGAAACCTAATACATTTCCAATTTCAACTGATGGTACAATGACAGTGCCCGGATTAAAAAAGCATATCAAAGCATAAAACAGTTTCGAAAGTCTACGCGAATGTTTGAAGCCAAATTTGAAGAAGATGTTATCGTGAAGTTTTCAAACTTCAACTACAGCGTTGAGGTCCATGCCTACCTTTCGCAATTAAAACTGGCGCCAAAGATTAAATTTTGGCGTAAGCTGCCCGGCAAGTGGTTTGTCGTTGTCATGGAAAAAGTGAACGGCTCGAAGATTTCAACGTCGGCAAGCCCAGAAGCGAAAAAGGCTTTAAAAGATGCGGTAGAACGAATGCACGATGCTGGCTATGTACATGGGAATCTGCGCTCCAAAAACATCCTAGTGGACGGCGATGAAATTTGCATCTTGGGCTTCGATTGGGCCGGAGTGGAGGGGGAGGCGAGATATCCGGTCGAACTAGATTCCGACGGGTTACATGAAAATGCACAATGTGGGAGGCCCATTTTGAAAGAACATGATTGTTACCAGGTTACAAAACATTGTGAAACAGCAGCAGATGAATAACTTTATTATTATAGTCTCTTTTTTATAGTAGCTATATCCTCTGTACTGTATATAGTAACACACACTAGCTTTATGACTATAATTATTATACTTCAACTTCTACTGAACATTACGGAGTGTGTTTGCATAATAATAGGACGTTCCTAACATCACCTAATTAACACAGGTGAAAATATAATTATCCACATACAAGCATGCACTCAAGTACAAACTCATTACACAAACAAAAATAATATCAGAGTGGTACCGACTTCCATGTTTAAAAATTCATTATACGTCCTCCGCGTCTCTCTCTCGTATCAATGCCGACCCGTTTCTCACGTTCTGTCTCCCAGCATTGGGAGCTGCAGCCCGCGGTGACGGCAAAGAAGCAAAAAGTGACTCCATGTTGTCGAGCCAGACTTCGTACACTGAGAACCTTGGTCCGAAACACAATCTCTGGTACCCACGGTACCTCTCGTAGAGCTGGCGTGCGATTCTGAGGGTTCGATCCAAATTCTGGGCCCCCGCCTGCGTGTTGAGTAGCACAGAGAGCCCCACGAAATCCAGGTTCCCGCAGAGGATCCTGGAGCGCTGCTGGATGATGATCGCGAGGCAGATGAACAGCGGGAAGGAGTCCGAGAACGGGACAGTGAGCGAGGATACCCGCGACACTACCGGCACCGCATGCTCCGTCGAGAGGAGGTTGGCGAAAACTGCCGCATGGTGCGAAGTCTCCTCGGGGGGTGGCGCGGGGGAGTTCGGTCGAGACAGGCTGGCAATCATCTCCAGAGTGTCGAAAAACGGTTGTACGGGGGAGACGGGCGGGTACTCGGTGTGTCTGGTGAGCGACTGTTCTTGCAGCGTCGAGTCTGTCCTCTCGCGGGACGAAGGGGTGTCATCGGTAACCGCCGAGTGACACGGTGTGTCAGCCGCGAGAATCGTACAGTCTTCCTCTTCATCCAGTTTTTGAGGTGTGTGAAGCCCGTTTTCTAAAGGGGTGGCTATTTCTACCCACACTTCACCTCTCCCCTCTTCCTCTTCCCTGCCATCTTCCGCAGCCCCTCCCTCTACACCCATGCTGGCGTCCAGGCCACTCTTGTCATTACTGGCAGCAGTGGTACCACCACCACCACCTCCACCACTGGCATTTGTGCTCTCGACACTGCTCATGTCAGACATCTCGGTCTGAGTTCTTGTCGCCAGTATCACGGGGGAGGGAGAAACAGGAGGACTGGAGGGAGGTGGACTGGGGGTCAAGCAACTAGCAGAGCAACTTCTTCTTAAACTCTGGTTGGCGTCATTAGGGTGGGCCCCTTCTCCCCCTCGCTCGGAACAAACAAATCTAGATTCGGTCGGTGGTGTTGACGGTTCATCATTTCTGTTTCTGGGTGACGGGTTTGAATGTTTTTCACTGGGTTCATGCAGCGATCGGTTCACTCTGCATCTGACGGGATCGCTCAGCGATCTGTCTTTACCCGGCGAGTAAGCGAATCGAGACCTTTCAGCGACGGAAGCGTTTGTGGCCATTGGTGTGGCACTGGGCTCGTCTTCCTCCAAACATCTCTGCTGTGTCATTTCATCCCCACTACCCCTCACTCTACTCCTAGAAGAATTCCAGTGGTTTTCACTTTCTTCCGCCCGATTTCGCTCCATTTCGCCCGTTTCCAGATTCACTCTATCGTGAACTTCAACTGAAATAACTCTAGTCGCTGCATCTGGTGGTCCGCTCTGTTCCAAATCTTCCTCGGGGATCATTGCGCCCTCCATGGAGCCGTCGAGGGACGAGCGATGATTCCGGAGAGGGGGTGGGGTGTGCGAGACGAGAAAGGTGCTGTGCGTGATGGAGCCGCACTCGGAACGGGCCAGAGGAACGGCGGTGTAGGTCTGCAACTCGCCAAAGACTTGGCGGATGACGTCGGGCGAGCGATTGGACATGAAAGACGCCCACTCGGAGTGGGTCGGTACCGAACCCAGCCCCGTGAGAGAAGGTGGTTCGGGTGACAGCACCTGGATCCTCCTGTTGTCCCGACGACCTCTTTGTGTCGGGGTCGTGGGTGGCGGCGGGCTCCAATTGGGATCTTCCCGTTGCCGCATGCAGAGCGCTGCCGACCAGATCACCTCCATCAGGTGGAAACTGTTCTCGAACGAGAACTCTCGACGACACTCGATGAGCACCATTCCGAAAAACAGTGCAAAAGCGTCTTCCTCGATGTCCTTCAGATACGCCGAAAGCTCCGGGTCTAGCACCGCACACAGGTGTCGCAATCGCTCCACTTTCTTCAGCGTCCCCTCGCACCACGTCCCGAAATTCTCCGCGATTCGCTGGACCATTGCGGAGAAGACGATGTAAGCATCGTCCTCTCTCTCCATCACGTAGAGGATTGGGCTGAGGAGGTCGGTCATTCCCTGCGTGTAGGACACCTCGTCGTGCTCCAGGGTGTAAACAGCCGTGATGTTTACCAACTTTTCGATGTTCTCTCGGCTCAGATACGAGGATTCGATGGACATCGACGACGTTGCATTGACGGAGCCGTCTCCGGGGCCGCTCCTGTCGTTACGGCGCCCGTTTTTGTAAAACGACTCGGTTGGATCGGTGCGCATGGCGTCGCGTCGAATGCTGTCGTAGAGATGTCGTCGATTCTGGTGAACAGGGCTGTCGGCCTGTGACTGAAGACTTCCCTTTAGAGCGTCGTATATCAACCTCAGTTTCCCCAGGTAAGATTCCCGTTCCTCGCGCGTCTCCATTCCGGGATGAAACACTCGTACCAGGTGAGGCCACACCCCCTTCCGTAGGCGGGGCTTGATCCGAAGTCCGCCGAGGAAGATGTCTTCGGCGACCCGGCAAAGATGGTCATCTTGGAGGATTCTCGGGAAGTAGGAAATCATGTCCACGAACTTCAGTTCTCTCTTGGGAAATATAGAACCTGCATAATGGACAGTGTTGTACGGAAGGACAAACAATGGAGATAAGCGAGTGAAGAATGCCTTCATTGTTGCATATGAATGTACATGCATAAAGTACTGTGCGTAGATTGACAATAGGCACACTATATGGCTCTCTATCCCCAAGTACAAGAGTACGGTCACGACATTATTGTTTCGAGCGCACGCGAATTTTTGAACTCGTGTTTGCTTCTCCTTACGACATCTGAAGTTGGCTGCGTTGACAAACGGTCTCTTCTTCACAACAATCTTCAATCTCTGAAGTCGGTAAGACTTTAGCACTGCGGCCCACACCTACACATATACAAGTACGTATACAACCAATATTTTGTATATACTTTACAATGTTACTAATGTTGCTTGAAAAGTACGAATGCAGAAAAAAGTTGTTTATACGAATATTAATGAGCCTCAACTTTTTTGATAATAATCTTTTCTGGTGTGTGTATAATACATACGTATAATATATGGACAGACTTGCAAATACAGTAGTTAATCTTTTATATGTTGGATGGAATAGCTTTTGAGAGAAACGTTCACATATTAGTAAACATTATTAGTAAACATATCAGTAAACATATATAGTAAACATATTAGTAAACATATCAGTAAACATATTAGTATTAAACATATCAGTAAACATATTAGTAAACATATTAGTAAACATATTAGTAAACATCATTAGTAAACATATCAGTAACATATCAGTAAACATTATTAGTAAACATATTAGTGAACACATGAGAAAATCCTTTGGATGCCATGGGTATCATCTTAAAAAAGCAGAATTATAATATGTATAAAGTATTAGCGCCTGGTATTATAACCCCCATATAAATTCTTATGGACTTATGGAGGCTCTGGATGCATTTATGTGTCAGTGGCTGGTTAAGTGTTAATGTCCAGCAATGCAATTTGTCCCCATGCACATAATCTCTGAGATAAAACTCTTGCGAAGAGTATGTGGATTCGTAGTTTGACATTGCTGGAGTATGGCTCGTACCTGATCGCAGACAAGTGGGATGACGTAAGGTCTGTCGGGCCGCGAGATGGAGGAGGAGGGGGCGGAGTTTGGGAACCCCCTGGGGGCGCAGACTGCCTCCAGTAGTAGGAAGTAGCTGGCGTGATCTCTGTGGGAGAGAAAGAAGAACGGGCGAAAGCATGTTTCCTAATATGCAGGGGGGGGGCAGTGTCTGAGTGGTAAGGAAATCAATTACAAGATTATTAGGCCAAGAGTAACCAATTGGTGTAGTCAATCATTTGCATGCTACTACAACCCACTGTGTTGTAAGTCCAACAAGCCACCTATGGTGCTAAAACCAATTTTGCGAGACATTTACACATGCAGGTTAACAACGTGCATTTCCCCCTATAATAATTGTGCGATTGAACGATCATACACAAAATAGCAAACAGCTGAGCACATGAAGAGGAGACCACCTCTCACAGCAGTTGTTTCCACCGACCTGAGGCCGAGGTGCTCCTTGAGATGACTGGCAATGGGTCTTATCTCCGGAGTGGTCCCTCGGTCGACAAACAAATCCGGAACATTCACTACCTTGCCACCAAATATCTGGGGAAAAGTTTATAATGCAAGCGAGTGCGAAATAAAACCTTTAGATAGGGAAGGGATGAAAGGACAATGAAATAGAGGTGAGATAGGGTACATTATGGGATGGTGTTGGTACTTCCAGACCCAATTGTATTGCTGACGGTTGATTTGTCTTTGCAAAATTCGCTGAAGGGGAATTGAGCAACAGCGAAGCCCCATGCCTGCAGCTCTACCTATGCGACCCGTGTTCTTCAGATAGCACACGGACATGCAAGGAATTGTGCTGTATAAGTTCCCAGTAGCTACGTACGTGTAGCTAGTAGCCATGAGTGGCCGGCTATACACTCACTGATTGGCCACCCATGCGGTTGAGATCGAAGACCAGCGTCAGGCGACGACTCGACTGCGGCGTAATCGAGCGCGGTGTCGCCATGTTTGCTGCGGTATATGCAGCGCCCTTCTCGATCCTTCGCTCGCTGGACAGCTCACCAACTATATCTCAGCTAGCTACTAGTCTACCACGCCCGCTGGACAACCCCGCCTCTAAACATGTGACTTGTATTAACAGCGTACGTAATAATTTTGCGCATGCGCTCATGTGGCGCGACGAGGTGCGGGATCGAGGAGGGCGCAGTTCAGTAGGTGGAGTGAGAGAAAGAGACTCAGAGACTCAGAGCCGGACCGCTTGCAAGCAGAGAGAATGACTAAGTGCGAATTCGACGACGATCTGTTGCTGCAAAGCACCACGGACAAACTGGTCATGGCTCGCGGCTACACGGCCGTCGGTACGCTCGTCATCTCCCTCGTATTCTTCTCGTTCGCATTCGCCAACCTCTACCGGAAGTATGCCCGCTTCCACAAGGAGTGCGCCTGCTGCTCCAGGTTTTTTGTGGACTACTTCGCAAATCCGTTTTTCCTGCTCGCCCTAATCTCTCTCCTACCGCTCGTCTCGTACGTCCTAATCTTGCCCCGTTACTCGCATGTCGGGGCAAAGTACGATGACAAACATTGCAAACTGCCAGGGTACCTCTTGCTGTGGTTCGAGTCCTCAGAGACGTTGGGGCTCGCTGCATTCTCCGTCTACCTTCTCTTATACATTGAATTCCACACGAAGAAGAGCGCAATGCTACAGCCCAGAGAATACGAACCGATTATGAGGAGGAATCGTCTCAGACTCGGTCGAAATAACTACGGTACGCAGCAAACGGACGAGGTTGAGTACATGGCAAGGATTCCAAAGGCTACCTGGCCATACTGGTGCCACCGCGGTTTCTCGATCCTTGTCTTTGCAATCATTATTCTAGTGTGTGGACTGTATACCTGTCCGTATATCGTCAAAAAACAAGGCCCATCAGGGGAGGGCGTATCGGAAGACGAAGAATTTAAATACGGGCTCGATGGCCCGTGGTGCTGGATCAAGCCAGCTGAGGCACAAAAACACTTTTGGTTTCTCGAAGAGTGGATGTACATGGGGCTCGGTTCCGTAGCCTTACTTGCAGCATTCGCCGTTCTTCTCTGCGCGATACTCTTACCGCAGAACTCAAGGGTTCGAATAATATGCCGGTGCCCAAAGTGGGACAAAACGATCATCGTTCCTTTTTTGATCTTCTTTCTCTACTTTGTGCTTCAGTTTGCACTGATGGCGGTCGAGATACTCGTGCGGATCTGCCACAACAGCGACAGTGCGTTGTGGTTTACATACGCAATCGGCAAACCGTTGTCAAAGATTCTGGTGGTATGGGCTGCACTTCAGCTGATGTCTACCAGCTACAGAATGGGAGGGAGAGAGGTTATAGTAGCTGAAACTTGAGGTTTAGTGATACCTGAGGATGTATATATAGTATGTTTTTGTTGCACTGTCATAACATCCACCCTTTCTTGGGGTGGTCATGCATAGTGAGGGTGGCGTGTATATATACATAGTGGACCTAGGGTGAAATAGTATGGGGAAGATTTGCAGACATGGGAGTGGAAAATCATTGGTTCATTGCAATGCAGATTTATGGACTGTGAATATTCGTGCATTCTGTCAAGGGATGGTGAAGATTAGTAGACAGTGAGGGTCTTGCTATTAATTGTCATTGCGGAGACTATTTATTATTATCTAGAGCCTTTTTGAAATGGGATAGCCTGTCATAATAATATGTGCATGGTTTGGCAGCCCCTACTACGAAGTATATACAAGCAGCAGATGGTATACTGAAGGTTGCGTGGCAGAAAGTATCCCTTTACTATAAGCAGATGGCATTCTGAAGATAGCGGACAATGATAACGATCTATTTACGTCAGACAATGCCACGTGTAGAATATTACACAGTCCCCATCAAAACAACAAACACATTTGAACAAACAGTAACGCAGAAGACACATTTTGTATAATATATTTACCTATTATAATAGTAACAGTGGAATAAACCAGACTCTAAGTTAAATAACAAAAAGATAATTATAAACACTATCTAAAGTGCACTAAATGGGCACACTGAAGGAGTCAAGGTGTTTCCAAATACATGCCGTCAAAGGAATCAAAGAACTGGATGCCTGCGAACGGCATTTCGTCGGACTTCATGGGCGTAAACGGATGAAGAATAGGAGAACACAGAAATGAAGTAACGTTGAAAACAAACACGTGGTCGAAAAAGGTGAAACAGAATTTCTCAAACGTGGTCTTAGATTGGGCAGCGACAAACGCTCGGGTAAAAAAGCTGCTTCGTTGGTTGCTGGCAATCATGCTGTCTTCGATCGGTCGACATGCAGCCTGGATACAAATATCGTCCCTCTTCTCGTAAAATTCAGGCTCATCTTCATCGTCGTCTTCATTGGGTGGCTCATTAGCAGCTCGTCTAGCAGTGATCTCCCCCACAATCTCCTCACTTCCTTCGTCAGCCGTAACCACCGAGTTGCTTGCCCCTGCCGCAGCGCTCGATCCAAGGCTAGAGTTCTCCGTCGCTTCGTTGTCATCGGTCACTTCAGTTGGACTCCGTCGACATTTCCCGTCCACCATCTGCACCCACCTCCCGGAGTGACAACAGTCGAGAATCATCATCAGTCGACGCTCTCGTCCCCTCTTCTCCTCGTCCCACACCTGCACGATATCGTCGTACGTTACGAGGTCGAAATACTCTTCCGTGGGTGGCACTTTCCTATTAGAAGAAGCGGCAGATACACTAGAAGCGGCTATAGATGCCGTGGCCACAGGTTCAATATCGGGTGCGCGAGCGGCGGCGGGTTTTGGCACGGGCGAGGGAGTGCCGGAGCGTTCTCGCGTCAAAACCGGTGTGGGTTGGAAAGTTACGTCAACGCTTCCGTCTTCTTCCTCTGAACCCTTGAGTACGGTCACGGGGATGCACCAGGAGCCGTCGACGTCCCCGTGCCCCGTGAAATAGAGAATAAACTCCGTCCGGTCGTCCTGAGCGAAGAAATCGCGCACTAAATTGAGGATGTCGTCTTTACCGCCAGCGTACTCGCCGGTGGAGGTGTCGTGCTCCCGGTAATCCACGGTTGAAAACCGATGAATCTCCTTCTGGTGTATGTACCGCTCCATGTTCCGAAGGTCTCCTTCCACAAATGCCTCGGGCGGTACTACGCCGGCCTTCGTGTAAGCCTTCTTTCTGCCTCCCTTCCGGCGCAACCTACCGGCTGCTTTCAGGCCCTCCGGCACTCCGCGGACTGGGCGCTCCTTTTCGAACTTGTAGCTCCCGATCAGGAGCGCTGTCGGCTCTTGCTGAGGTGCGCGCTCGGGACCCAGAGCTGGATTAGGGCCACGTTCATCCATACCGAGTCGTCAACGAGCTCTCCAGCTAGCTGTTGAGACCCGCGCATGCGTAGTAATTGCCCAGCACGTCGTCGGTCAAAAATACCGCAATTGTTCTGTTTGACGCGCAGATATGGCCGACGTTGGAGCCGAAGTCGGAGCTGCAGGCACGACGAGTGCACTACTAATCGGCAGCGCGATTTTCAAGCAGCGGGAAAGTTCTGAAGGAGGCGCAAGTAGTGGTGGCGTGAAGCGAGCGAAGAAGAAGCGAGGTATCAAAGAGATTCGCGGGAAGAAGGGGAAGAAGCGCGAAGATCATATCAAGTGGGCACGAGGCGACCTAGAGAACATGTACGAACTGATGATAAGAAAGAATATCGCGGTTTACGATCCGAAAGGCGATGATTCGGAGGAAGACGACGACGCCACACACCATGAAAACGGAATCCATATCGGTGCACCGTGGTATAACTACAAAGAGCAGCGTAAGGATAACTCGTACGCCCTGGGCAAGATCGATATTCTGCGAAAGATCGAAGAGTTCTTCGATCAGAAGGACAAGACACTGTTTGTCCTCTACTACACGGGCCATGGCAACGAGGACGGCTCGTGGGTGTTTCCCGTCACTAGGACCACGAGTGCATCTCCTGTTCGAGTACCTAACGAGGGCCAGGGAGAAAGCGGAGAAGGAGCTACCGCGACCGCGCAAGCGGCGACACCGCACGGCCCAGCTGTACCACCACCACCACAAGGTGCTAGTAATTCCACGGTAGTTATTGCTGAAGTCCACGAAGAAAGTGGGTCAACGCCCTGTGGAGATGTGCAGCCGCAAATAACTTCTCAAGGGCAATCATCGGCACACGGATCAACAGAAATATCCCGTAGGACCCGTTCAAACACAGCCACAAAAATGGCTGCTCTTGAGGCTGAGTCTAAGAGGGACCGGCCACCACCTCATAGAAAGTTAAACGACTGCGTCACTTTTGAGGACATAGTTGATTTATGGGATGAAAAGAAAGCCGAGAGGGGGGATCGTAACCAATGCCGCCTCCTAATGATCCTTGATTGCTGCTTTGCTGGGAAGTGGGTGCAAAAGGTTAAAGGAGATAACGAGGTCTGGACAGAAAACGGAGGAGACGCAATTGCCAATAAGTTTAAAAGACGGAGGGATATCTGCATCCAAGCGGCATGCCATCCATCAGAAACAAGCACAGTATCCGACAATCAGCGTGGAAGCATCTTTACCAAGGCGTTTGTGGCTGCTCAGAGCAAACGGCTTCCGGAAAAATACATCCTCACATTACTCGATCACTTCCTCGTGCTGAATTTTGTGTGCATAGCTTCGTCTCCACCGTTCAAAGACCAATTCACCCCTATGAGCTCGTCGCATGCTCAATTTGGAGATTTTCACCTTTTTGACTCTTTTGATGATATGCGTACATAGTGGCATAAATATTTACATCGCCTCCTTTAATGGTCTTGTATTATAGAGTAGTATGTACAAAACTGTTCTTGTAATATTGTCACGTTTTTACATTGCCAGGTTCTCAGTAGATTCCTATATACTTTAACTCTGCTGCAAAACACTAGAGTGAATGTTATGAAATCTCATCTGGGATGTTGATGTGTAGTCTGCATGCAGTGTGGTTGTGAACCATTGTAACCTATATAGACAGTAACTGGAAACCTGGAATCTGATGTCTATGCAGTTTTGGGTATGTATATTCACCTGAAACTGGTATAATACCAGTGTTGGTTGAGTCCATCCCAATAGTAACAGATGGCCATAGGGGAATTCATATTGCAACGGGCACCAGATATCTGTGTGGTCAGCCTTACATGTCCATAAAAGCACTTATTCATTATCTGTTAAACATACACACCAACTAACGACAGGTGGTTGCCTTTTTGTCGTCTGCGTGCGCGTATGTGTAGCGATTGCGCAGTAGCGTCTGCGTGCGCGTATACGTTGCGCAGCAGCGTACGCTAGGTGTGCATGCGCAATTATAGCTACGCCCGCCCAGCACTGAGATCACCCGTCACGTGCTTTATGATCTCAAGTCTGCTTATAAGTTGTTCCAAAAACTTTGAATTTTACAGCAAATACAACTAGTTATCCTTATGTGTTCAAATACATGTCGTCAAACGAATCAAAAAACTGTATCCCTCCAAATGGCCGACATTTTGAGCTAACTGGAGAAAACTGACAGCCCGACAGTGAACGAGCAATCGACACCAAATTCAGCACTAAGAAATGGTCCAGAAAAGTGAGTACAAACTTCTCAAAGTTCGACCTCCTCTGTGCAGTTACAAACGTCCTCGTGAATACGCTGCTGAGTTGATTCGTGGCGACCTTCGTTGCTTCGCTAGGTCCACACGCTGCTTGAATACATATATCGTGTCTCTCTTCAGATTTCCTCTTTATCTCAATAGACCCCGATTCTTCATCAACTTCTTCTAGCTCTATTACAAATGCTCCGTTTACTTTTTGCACCCACCTCCCCGAGTGGCAACACTCCAGAATCAACATTAGGCGGCGATCGCTATTCCCCGTGCTACATTCGTCCCACAACCCAACCACGTCTTGGTACTTTATCAAATCGTTCCATTCCATGGTGGGCTCCGGCCTCTCTCTCAGTGCTTTTTGGTAGAGCGACTTTAGTTTCACCGCCTGTCGCTGTCCAGGTTGAATTGAAGGGAGTGTATCGGGGCTGCTACAAGCGGGAGAGTGCAGGTTTCTGTCATTGAAAGAAACGGGCGTGTCGCGTTTCTCGGGCGTCTTCCTCGATTCTGGGGCGTCAGAGGGCGCATCGGTGTGTACTTCAACCTGGGCGAATGCCGCAGACGGAGAGGCAACGCTTGAATCAGAGCAGTGACCCACACAAGTCCCGTCTCGTTTGTACGGTTGAGTCTCTCGCCTCTTTCTCGGGACAGCGGTGGTGACTGGGATGACCCACGATCCTTCCTGATCTCCGTGACCAGTGAAGTACAGGATAAAGTGCGTCTTGTTGCCCTGTCCAAAAAAATCCCGAATCTTTTCCAGCACGTCCGTCTTACCAGACGAGTAAACGCCGTGCTTGTTCCGTTCTCTATAGTCGAATACGCCGAACATTTCGACGCCCTTTGCGTGCATCAGTCGCTTCATATTATCGAGATCTCCTTCCACCCAGGCATCGGGAGGATACCACCCGCCGTACTTGGCGAACACCTTCCTTATCCCGCGTTTCTTCGATATCACATGCCCGCCCTTCTCCTCTCCGCGCACTGGACGGTGAGGCTCGCACTTCCAGCTACTTATCAGGAGTGCTGTTATCGCTTCAGCCATGACAAGTCAACTATAACTGCCGCCTGCAGCCTTCTTGCTAGCTAGCTAGCTAGCTACGTACGTATGATGCGGCGGGGGGTCGGGTCGGGTCACTAGGGGTCGAGGGCTGCGTCAAATGCCGTCATATGCACACTCAGCGCGAGAGTTAACTGCGCATGCGTCAAGATGAGCGCGCAAAAATTCAGATAAGAGGCCGAGTATTGTGTGTGTGTGTATGTGTGTGTAAGTGGTAAATAATGCACTGATTTGTACCACTTCATTGGAGCCCATTTACCCGTATACAGACCAGCTTGTTCACGGTACATTCAGTACACAATGGATCTACACTGCTGTAGTTCCTCTCACTTCGTAAACATACTGCACAGCACACTGTATACGTTTATAGTACAGCACATTACATACTTGTAGAGTAGGGTTAACTATGTACACCTGTCACTGTTGCGTCGACTTAGAAAGAAAATTATGGGCATCACGCTATTCACTGCCGCTGAGCTGCGAACACACGTAGTAATTGACAGGGCACACACTCATAAAAGATAATCAATCTTATACACACAAACCCAAAAAACCCATTGTTTTTAAACGCTCATCAAATAACAGTTTACTCATACAAACAAAAACGAAATTACATGCTTATATATCACACTAGAAGAAAACATTCATTTTGCTGCTGCTGAACTACAATGAAAATGTTGTTACCATCAGTTGGCAGGGAAGGCACCTTTAGTGTTGCTCAAATGAGAGGTTGGAACTCGGCACTGACTTTCTTTCCGAGTGGTCTTGCACCCAGCAAAACCAGAGCGGCGGAAATGGTGAACATCTTTGCCAGGGGCGTCATTATAGAGTCAATGTACCAAAAGATGTGTGTGGCGTCATTGCAGCGAAGGTTCGGGTTTAGACGAACGATGGTTTCGAAAGCGGCAAACGCGGCGTGGAGACCCTGTGCATAGATCAACACCAGAATTGCAGCAATTCCAGTCATTTTCCCCGCGACAGCTTTCTTACTTGCTATCTTGCACGTGAACAGAATGACGTTTGCCACCATTGCCAGAAAGGTGACTAGCTGGACACACCAGTATGGAAAATTCCAGAAATAGAGCTGCTCTCTGGTGTTTTCGATCCAGCACCACGGCCCTCCCTCGGGACCGTAGCTCTTTACCATTAGTATCGGGAAGATTGTACCCAGCCGTACCCAACAGCAGTACGAGAACTATAGCACCCACCACTATAGCGTGGCCGATGTAGTGGAGACGGGAGCTGAGATCCTGCGAGTTTAGTTCGTTGTCCGTCAGCGGTTTCCCGTAGCTGAGCAGGTAGTAGAACAGGTAGAGCGCCAGGAACCCGGACATCGCCATTGCGAACGATTCCGTCCACTGGATTGCGAAGCCGAACCATCTGCACACGGAGGGGTCGGGATTGAACGACACCCATAGGTGCGCTGTGTAGGCGAGGCAGGTTGCGACGTACGCGACCGCCGTCCACAGCATCGGGTTGACGACGCAGTTGAGAACGCACCGGAGCGTGCAGAATGCGTGGGGGAAGAAGTCCTGTGACTGCTCCACGTGTCGGACGCAGCAGAAGACGCGGAGGAGGACGACGTACAGGGTGGCGATGGAGACGAGAGACACCAGTCCGCCGGCGAGGCCGCGGGTTATGGCGATGTTGTCCAACTCGTTTTCCTCCAGCAAGAAACAGTCATCGTCCTCCGCCATGTCTTGTGGTCGCTGCAGTAGTTACTGACTCCGACTGTATGCACTTGACGGGCGGCGTTTTGGGCAACTGCCACTGAAAATCGATCACACGCACAGCTGTGGAGATGCGCGGCTAGCAATAGCTGACTACTTTACTGTCCGGCTCATGCGCCTGAACAGTGTCAGCGGCGCGAAATTGCAATTTTTACAGTCGGGCGCGGCGGCAGATTCGCGCTGACGCCAGCTATGCAATAAAGCCTTGTTATATTAGATAAAGCTCCTGACATAATTCTGCATGCAACAACCGAACAAACATTTCCCGATTCTAAGTGTTTGGCTAAGTATTCCGCGATCCGACAGGCGATGATCGGCAACCAGCGCAAGTCGGTATGCGCATGCGCAACATAGGCACCACACTTCAAGGCCTCCAACCGCACTCTTACGACGGACTAAATCTTCCCAATTTTCTTTCGTTACGGTAGCTTTATCTTCATTCAACTCATGCAGTGTGTGCTGGTTGTGCATATGGCTTTACCGTTAGACGTTGGATAAATGCGCAAGCGGGGAAAAGATAAAAGGTGCAACAAAAGGTGCAGAATGATACATTACAGTTGACAGTGGAGAAGAATGAATGATGAAATTTAAAAAATGATTACATCCACACACAAACATACAGACACAGGTCAAAAGAAAAAGCAACTGTCGCGTGATAATAAATCCACACTCAATGCAGTGATTTCTCTGATTTTCGAATGATAATAATAATTAAAAAAACGGTGCGTCGGACAAAATCAATAATACAGAAGATGGCACAGAAATAAAGAACGAATTTTCTCTAAATGACAACAACAAGTCGCGACACAAACAACAACAACGACGACACAGGAGTAGACACACCCACCCACAGAACAATGATGATATATAACTGGGGGGGCTAGAACAAGCCGTTCACTTTCTTGATATCTGTCTGTTTCCAGACCGGGAATCTCTGGAACTGTTCGCGAGTTATTCCGAATACCGCCTGCAGCGGATGAAAGGAGGGGAGAGATGTGAAGATGAGTATATTATAGTTGATTTCGGAGCAAAATGGGGGAGGTATAGTTGCAGATATAATATAGAAAGGGTATATAATATTATTGGACAAAAAGGCAAAACTTCTAAATAGCTCAAATTTAAAGCACAACAGACTTTATCATTGAGAAACAAGGGCCTGGCTAGAGGAAAAAGAGGCAAAATAGGAATTTTGCTTTTACGAGCTTTGAGAGGCGAAAAGGGAAGATGAAAAGTTGACAAATCTTGGTACACAATTATTTTCTCGTATATTATACCTTGAACTCCTCGTCTGAGATGTAGGTCTCTAAACGAGCAGGGTCCACCCCTTCGGGGAGAGGTCGTGCCTGGAGCTCCTTCAGACTGAACTGTGTTCTAAATACAGACACAGTAGATGCGTAATGTATGAACTATAATAGTGGACATTTTAACTAAAACTAGTATATATACTAAAAAACTAGGCGCACTAAGTTGTGGAAATCAGATCTATGTAAAGGTAGACACAGCGACAAAGCATGGTATAAGTTCCGATTTAGACCCACAAAATTGTAAGGAATTGTATTGTTTTACTGTTTGGGAGAACTCCACTATATTTTCGATTTACATATTACATTATCTTCTATACTATAATGCACCATGCAAAATCCTCTCAACGTGACAATCTCAGTGAGTGTAGCTATACCTGCTGTATTTGAGTAGCTCTTGTTCCACGTCGATTCTCTGTGGAATCGGTTTGCGACCTTTGCACTGGAGCTCCTGTACCTTGGCGTTGGGTTTCCAGAACGGGAAGAGGTGAACGAAATGGTCGGGTTCCGTTCCGGCATGGATCATGTACGTCTTGGGCTGGTGCTTTCTGGTTTCTGTGGATGCTAGAAGAGGGAGGGGAGGGAGGGAGATTTGGTTTAACCTTGCAGGAGAGTATATAGGGAATGTGTCAGTATAATTATTACGTAAGAGCTAAATTTAGAAATGTTACTAAAGATAGAACTAAAGGATGGGGCCCAGTATATTAACATGTGAGTACGTATATACGATTATTGTTGTAGATGAGACTACGGAGTGATGCAGAAGTCCCTTTAGTGATACAATCTACATTAGACTCCCGAGCTGCAAATACTTCTCCAAAAGTTGGTCTACCACAGTTTTAACCATTTGGACCCCATGGGTATCTGCTTAAATAAGCAGAAAATGAGTATATATAAAGTATTAGCGCCTAGTATTATAACCCCCACATAGATTCTTATGGACTTATGCAGGCTGCCGCCGCATTTATGTCCATGGCTGGTTAAGTGTTAACACATGTTTCCCAACACAATGTGCAGAGGAGGGGAGGGGGGGAAGGGAGAGAGAGGAAGGGAGGGGAGAAGGAGGAAGGGAAGGAGAAAGAGCAGGATCTCTAGTTTTATACGGAAGAGTTCGGCGCTGACCTTTGGCATAGAGTTGTGCGGTCTCTAGAGCTAGTTTCTTGTCTCTCAGCCACCTGGCGTGTGCGCTGCCAGTGGTGATGTTGGTCTCTCTCATGATGCTCCAGTCTCTTCTCTCCTGGGGCCACCAGCCAAGCCAGACGTACACCGTTTTGTACGCATCCAGGAGGAACATGGCTGTGGAGGGAGAGAGAGAGAGAGAGAGAGAGAGAGATAATAATAACTCGGGCAAAAAACACAACAATTTTCACAAGACTATAATTTTGCAGATTAAAATTGGTATGCATAAAACAACATAAAAATATGTAAATATGTAGTTTGGTTTAAGTGTATAACTGCAAAACCAAGAAAAGTTTTTTTTATTCGTTTTTTTAATACCACCTCAAAAATTTTTCCTGATAGTGATAAAAGCTGTGTGTTCTACAGACTATCTATGTACTATCTATAGTATACTGTATATCTAACTATATATTTATACCAGGTTGAGAGGTGGTGTAAATTTCGGTCTGAAGAAAGGGTGTGGCCTCGACCTCGGAGTCCCTGGCAGGGTACACGACCTCGCTGGCCACGAACTCCCCGGTGGTACTCGAGAGTTCAAACAGCCTCGGAGTAAAGTCCATCAGTCTGGTGTCTGGAGGAGAGAGAGAGAAGGTGGTATAGGAAGTGGGGGAGGTAAGGCAGGGAAGAACCCACATGACCTTTCATATACAATTGCAACACGTAGCCACTAAAACCAGCCACCGACACATAAATGTGTCCAGAGCCTCCACAAGTCCATAAGAATTTATACACGGGTTATAATACTAGGCACTAATACTCCATACATACATGAATTTCTGCTTATTTAAGCAGATCCCCATGGCGTCCATTGGGTTAAAGCTGCTGTGCATACCAATTTTAATCTGCAAAATTATAGTCTTTGTGAAAATTGTTGTGTTTTTGGCCGAGTTATTAGGCACTAGTGCTGGCAGAATGTGCGGGCTACGTTGCTTTGGATCCCTTATTATAGTCTAAAATTACAGTAGGTAGAGCTACAGCTCATCCCCTCTCTCTTATATATATAAAAACCACTACACGAAAATCGTTTACCGTTGAGGAGGGAATCGTAGCATGTCTTATCTCCAATTAGAGCACACATGTCCTTTGGCTCATGACCCTCTTCCACCATCACCAGGTCCGCCTTTAACCTGCCCGTGGCAAAATTTTTGTGACAACAGTAAACATTTTACTCAAAATCCCAATTTTCTTCATCAAGGCAGAGATCTATTGAAAACGGTGGCTTGAAGAGATCCCTGAAAGTGAGGACACCTCGCTATAATAAGCATGCAGTTTCTTGTATATATGCTCTGAAATCAATTCGGACAGTTTTTGTAGACGGTTCCATCAAAGGTATATTCAACTATGCAGTTATGGATAAGGTGAGGATTACTCGCTCGCTAATAATATAATCTACATAGCTTGCTAAAAATATAATCTACATATATACCTCGCTCGCTAATAATATAATCTACATTTAATAAAGATAACATCCCCTATTCTACCGCTTGCCAATAACACCGCTACAACGAGAGAGAGAAAGAGAATTTTTCTCTAATATCGGCTGGCTCACCTCCTCTTCAGTAATCTGGCCGCAGTGTGAGACACCTTCCTGAGAGTGGCGGTGATCCTGCAGCCCTTCCATAGGTAGATCTTGTTCCCCGGGCTGTCGTAGACCACGTAGCAGCCGCGAGATCTGAAGAATTTGGCCAACGGCCAGTGCTAATACAGGGGGGGGGGAATACATCATCCGAGTTAAAAAATGGGGAATAAGGAAAAGAGACAAGCAGGGACGATTGGTGTATGGGATTTAGTAGTACTTTAAAATACACAAAAGCACTATATTATAGTGTATATAGTACTTACAAGTCATGATGTACGTATTATTGTCTACCAAGAGTGAAAGTATGGGATTAAATACATAAGAGCACTAGTACTTACAAGTCATGATGTATAAGAGTGCAAGTATGGGATTCAGTGGTACATTACAATTATTGCTATGCATATAGCTATAAGTCCGACAAAATTACATACGTAAGAGTGCCACTAGTGTAGTACTGACATTAGTCATGTATTATTGTGTACCGAGAGTGCTGTTAGTATGCAGTTTCTCCCTTCACTCCGTCTACCACACTCTCACTGACTCAATTACATATATACCTCGCAGTTAATTACGATGACGTAATGATTACCTCGGGGTCAATCTCGACGAGGCAAGCCTCAGTCCTCATCTGGCCTCTCACTAAGAACAGTCTGACTGGTCGAGCCGGACTCTTGAATGACATCGTCTCAGATCTACATACGGTACAGAAAACACACAAATGTTCATAGTGCATAATATACATCATTAAAGGGACTGGGGCAGTATTGTTAAAGGGCTAAATTTAGAAATGTTACTAAAGATAGAACAAAGGGACACAGAAAGAATGCAATTGAGTTCCGTTTTTAGTAACATTTCTAAATTTAGCCCCTAACATGCTGCTCATTCCCTTTAATACACAACCCATTATATCAAGCTGCATGTGAAAAACTTTAAAGAGAGCAGAGCTCCACTGTTCGTATCGCATGTGCCGGAAGAAGGCGATGAGATTGGTCGAGTAGAGGTGCGACCGTGCAAACGTAAAAATACTGAAAATGGAAAATTTTACCTGCCACAGAGAATGACCGTTCCCCCGGAGAAGAGGTTGAGGAAGGCCGGAGGTTCCTTGTTCTGCACCACTCTGACTTGCGGTCCTCTCTCCTTGTCCAGCTCAACGGTGAGGAGAGCCGACGCCCCCTTCTCGTTTACGTACACTCATCCCCTGGGAGGGAGAGAGGGAGAGAGGGAGGGAGAGAGGAAGGGAGAGAGGAAGAGAGGGAGGTGATGGAGTAGCTGTACTCTTTCACTGGATGCGAATTTCTTTCCTCGTCCCTTTCTCTTCCTCTCTGCTCTCCTCTCTCTACGTTTCTTTCCGCTTCCCTTTCTGCTTTCTCTCTTCCCTTTCTTTCTTCTCTTTCGCTCTCCTTTTTTTTGTTTTGGGTTGCGTTTTCTTTTACATGCCCATGATGTGATGTTCAGCGAGTTTCCACTAAAGATAAGAATGTGAGTGAGCAGCTGTAGGCATTACGGTAGTTGACGGCACCATAGGTAGACTCGCTCAAATGACCAACAAACTATCTCCGTAATAATTTCCAGCCGTATTGACAAAGACTCAACTACTTGCCACTCTTTCTCACTGTATATACACATGGTGGTTAATGCGCATGCACCTATAGTGTATGTGACTATACACCACCCTCTATTAAACACAGGGTTAATAGAGGTAATTGTATTAAACATAGTGCGTAGTACAAAATCAGTCGTTCGAATCGGCCATCTCACCCTGCCAGAAGAAGTAGGCGACCTTGTCTCTGCCGCCGCTCTCGAGCCTTCGCTTACTCTCGTCGTCGTCTCCCTCCTCCTTCTCGTCCTCGGACTCCGTGTCGGAGCTGTCGTTGCCACGGGCACTCTTGTTGGTCTGCGCGTCCTTCACCTCCCGATCCTTCGCTGCCTGGAGTCAGAGAGGTCACGTATTGGAAAGACAACGAGATAGAGAGAAAATGTCTTGCATTATTCCACCAGCTAACATCGGGTATTGTAGGAAAAGAGAGCTCAGTATAATGTATGTACCAAAACACTAGACATCTTTTTTTTAGTTTTGCACACATTAAAAATACTAAAACCCTTGTATGAAAGGATCAGCAGTGAGTTTAAAATATTTTTTATAAAAATTTGATTTTATAATACAATGCACACAGGACGGACAAAACCAGGAAAGGTTGGCAGGAGTGAGCAGATCAAAGAGACAGAGAGAAGAAGTGGAGAAAGAAGAAAGCTCGCTGAGCCTCACCTGCTGCATCTTCCTTTCCCTCGCAAACATGCCACTCCCAGGGGAAAGTCCCTCCAGCTCCTTGACGACGGTGATCCGGTACGACCACCGCACCACGTAGGCCTCCTGGGAGTAAAACAGGCCTTGCTCCGTCTCCGCGACGACCACATTGTCGTTGTCCTTTATCACCCATTTGGTGGAGGAGTTGGGGTGGACCCTGTTGCAGGCAAACGTCGACCTGACAGACGGAGAGAGATTATATTGAAACCGAAATTCAACTCCTAGAGCTTTCCACGGCCATTTGAAATGCATGCAAAATAAACTTAATCTTTCGTGGACATACGAAATTTGCAATAATATTGGGAAAATGCCGGGGAATCAGAGGTAAATGCAATATCTCTCTCCCTTCTTTTCTCTTCGTATTATATCCATCTTTCTTTCTCCTATATACACCCTTTTCCCCTCTTTCTCTCTCTCTCCTTCCCCACTAACTCCTCTCTTCTCCTCTCTTCCACTCTCTTCCACTCTCTCCTCTCCGCTCTCTCCTCTCTCCTTCCCCCTCACAACCTTGCAAACTTTATAGTTGCCCTTCCTCTGGACTGTCACCGCCAGCGATGACTTCGAACGGACAGCAATCTCTCAGTGGTCGTTAGACTCTCTACCGACGCTTGGCATCTCGGGCAGCATCTTCTCAACTCGGCTGGGGTTGTGCTCTATCCCCTAGGGGCCCTGGTCGGCATCTGGAGGGTGGTGTGAGAGGTGTGGGGCAGATGGTAACGAGGAATATCATGTAACCTCCGAGATAGGGACGACCTCTCTACAAAGGACACTTGTTTCACATGCCAATACTTTAGTGTATTATTTGACCTCAGAGATAGGGACGACCTCTCTACAAAGGACACTGTTTCACATGCCAATACTTTAGTGTATTATTTGACCTCAGAGATAGGGACGACCTCTCTACAAAGGACACTTGTTTCAACCCCATGCTAATACTTTAGTGTATTATTTGACCTCCGAGATAGGGACGACCTCTCTACAAAGGACACTTGTTTCAACCCCATGCTAATACTTTAGTGTATTATTTGACCTCCGAGATAGGGACGACCTCTCTACAAAGGACACTTGTTTCAACCCCATGCTAATACTTTAGTGTATTATTTGACCTCCGAGATAGGGACGACCTCTCTACAAAGGACACTTGTTTCAACCCCATGCAATACTTTAGTGTATTATTTGACCTCCGAGATAGGGACGACCTCTCTACAAAGGACACTTGTTTCAACCCCATGCTAATACTTTAGTGTATTATTTGACCTCCGAGATAGGGACGACCTCTCTACAAAGGACACTTGTTTCAACCCCATGCTAATACTTTAGTGTATTATTTGACCTCCGAGATAGGGACGACCTCTCTACAAAGGACACTTGTTTCAACCCCATGCTAATACTTTAGTGTATTATTTGACCTCCGAGATAGGGACGACCTCTCTACAAAGGACACTTGTTTCAACCCCATGCTAATACTTTAGTGTATTATTTGACCTCCGAGATAGGGACGACCTCTCTACAAAGGACACTTGTTTCAACCCCATGCTAATACTTTAGTGTATTATTTGACCTCCGAGATAGGGACGACCTCTCTACAAAGGACACTTGTTTCAACCCCATGCTAATACTTTAGTGTATTATTTGACCTCCGAGATAGGGCCACCTCCTCTACAAAGGACACTTGTTTCAATCAAATCAACCCCATGCTAAGAGTTTAGTGCATATTTGACCTCCATTGACCTCCGAGATAGACGACTCTCTACAAGGCCACGTGTTTTCACGCCAAGACTTAGTGTATATTTGACTCTGAGCTAGGACAACCTCTCTACCGGGACACTTGTGTATTGTTTTATTTGACCTCTCCGAGATAGGGACTAGACCTCTCTACATGGACAAAATCGTTGGCCCATAGTTCTACATAGCGCGTTGGGAGGTCCACTGTATGTGTAAGCGAGGATGTGAAAATACTTAGAGACAGCGAAATTGAGGCGAGATCTTCCCACATACCACGGGAGTCGTTGCGTGTCCTTTCATCTTGATGACTTCTTTCTTGCTTTTGCTTCTTTCCGGACCAG